AACTTTACAATAATAGACGATCTGATAGAACTGAAATTTTTTTTCAAGAATAATCCCAGCCTCTTAGAATTCTATAGAGAAATGAAAAATGCCAAAGATAACGTCGATAAGTTAAGCATATTCATGCAATGATTCGTACATCTAGTCTAAGCTATCTTCAATCAATTTTTAAAATCTTTCAAAATTCAAGATCAATATTTATCATGCTTTACAATTTTCAACCAAGATTACTAGTAGATAGGATGGACACGCCCACCCGACCAATAGAAACTCTGCATCTCCCCCTACTCACGATCCATAGCCAAGAAAATTCTCACTGACCAAGTTTTTCGCATTAAAGCTCTTCATCTAAGATGTAATACCACTATTTTTTATATTGCTCTTGGTACACGAAAATAAATACCTGTACAAATCGGAGGTTAAAGCCCAAAAGAGCTAGGTACTCTGTGAAATATTAACTACGTACGACGGGTGATCGAATTGCTCGCAACGAAACTGTCGAATCATCGTTCGCATGACACCAGCAGAATGGGGCTGAGAATTGTCATTCCTTTACTGAACATTCCTCTCCGTTTGTTTTGAATTGCACACAGTAGTTTTCTTAGAGTCTCAAAATATCGTGCCACATTGACGGTTGCACTTCTGGGAAGAAATTCAGTTAGCAAAACCCCTTTCCTATCCCAAAATGCAATGCATATATTTTTTTTTTTTGCACTGACATTGTCGTTTTGAACTTTTGTCTTTTTGGAAATTGAATGTGTTTCCACTCCATTGACTGTTGTTTCGATTCTGGAGTTACATGAAGAACCCAAGTTTCATCACCTGTCATAATTAAGTTTAAAAAATCCTTTCCATCTTCACTGAATTGTGTGACAATGAATTGCAAGTCACTTGGTTTTGTGAACATCAGTGAGCATTTTTTGAACCCATCGGGAACACACCTTGTGATAACCTAAGCGGTTTGTAACTATTTCTCCCATGACAATACGTGAGTGGAATTTGCGGAAAATTCGTATGAAAGCGTCATCGTTGTGAAACATCTACACTCACGGATTTTCTCATCAACTTTCCTTACCAGATCATCGTTGGCAACAGAAGGCTGACCACTCCGTGCCTCATTGTGGACATTTATTTGACCTTCATTAAACATTCTAACCCACTTTCTCACTATGTCATCACTCATCGTGTCTTCGCCGTAAACATTTTTAACTTGACGATAAATTTCAGCCGATTTCACATTCTTTAGGTGTTCAAAAAATCGAATTACCGACGACTCTCATGTGGTGGGATCAGTAATTATCTTAAACATTTTAAATGAGTGCAGCAAACTAAAAACATAATGTAGAGCAATCAAAATGGCATCAGCTGAGAATCAGTGAACAAGGAAGACAAGAGCGCATACGAGGAACACCGACCGCAGCGTTGTGGCGGCGGTACAATGAAACGGTACTTACTTTCCGAATACGCCTCGTATTTAGAAATCTAAAAAGTGGATTCTCTAAAGTTTAATGAATATTTAAACCAATTAAAGATGCTTAAATTTTTTTTATTAAATACTGATCAAAAAATTTTCATGAATTTGTACATATTTGTTACCCAATTTTAAAAATTATAAGCTTTAAAGAGATAAATATTATTATATAAAAGGTGAGTTTTTGAATACTCTCATGAAAATATAAGTAATTCAATAGCATACATTGGTCCTAACTTTATAAAAAGGAAATATTTCAAGAAAAACTTAAAAAAATTATTTTTAAGCGAAATAGTTATTTTAGTTATGTGAACTACGTTACAAGCTCTCATCTAGTAAAACAAAAAAAAAAAAAAAAAAAAAAAAAAGGCTCTGATTGAAGAGAATCCTGCACAGTTCAACAGTTGAAAAGAATAAATTCAGGAAACAATAATAAATTATTCAAAAATCAATATATTTAACTCCAAACCCTGACTGGATAAGCCACAAATTAAATTACCGTTAAACTACTGTAAAAGGAAATGCATTTTTCTCTCTCACATACACGCTCGCACGCATGAGCGCATACACAGACGCAATCAAAATATATCTTCATCTTTTTCTTCTTTCCTCACATTCGCTTTTGAAAAGAACAATATATTTAAACCAAAAGATGCAGTTTAGTTCAATTCTTTATATATTTGCACAAACTTTCTGAAAATGAGCTTGGGATAGCTGATAGAAGAAGAATCGATGGAGCAGAATAAAATAATAGAGCAAGAAAATTGAATAAGACCTCATAACTTGATCAGAATTACCATTAATGCCGCCTACCATCTCTCAATTCATCGTGTAGGCCTTATTTATTCATACGAATCTCCAGTTAAATACTATTTCATTTTCAGGGTCTTAATTTAGTAATAAGGCTATCTAATTCTATGATAAATAAGTAATGAACTTCTTTTACAAAAGTAATAATATATATACACACAATTCAGAAAATGTTGTAGTTTTTATTACTTGTTAAAGTTATATATCAATACTTGAACAGTTTTAAATAGGAGATATAAGACTGACATAGTGTATTCTTCACTTTTTACCAACTGATAATTCTAAATTACAAAACTGCTTTTTTCATGATGATGACGATATGCACTCCCTAAAATTAATTTTCTTGCATTGGCAATAGCGATACGCACCTCCCTTCCCACAAAAAAATTAATTTCTGGATACGCCACAGTATATTTATGTACTTTACATTTTCATTAGAATTCTTATTCTGATTTAACGTATAAACATAGACTCAAACTTTAAGATCTATACTAAATGTAGACAAACATAAAATACTATGTGCAATCGAGTCGATATTTACCAAAAAAAATGAGCAAAGCCATCTTTTGATTTCTTTGAAACTTTTTTTTTTTTAGTTTAAGTGCTTTATCTAAGACGTTCTGATAATAAATCGGAAATTCCTCTTAAAATACTTTTGTTATCTTTTTTCGGGAAAAAAACTGAAAGAATTCAAATTCCTTTTCTATATCTTTAAAAAAGTTGATAAGAGGTTTCGCTAAAAATAAATCTTTAAAAAAATAATAGTTTGTAAAAGTTTTATTTGTAAATTGGAACCATATATCCTACTTCAATTTTGTTTTTCAAAAAAGATGTACTTGACAAAATGAATCACTCATTTTTTTTTAAATAAATATTCGGTACTGTTTTCTTTCAAATTCCTTGCCTGATATTATTTTAAAAACATTTTGTTTTCTTAGATAATAATCAAAATATAGAAATAAAAATGCTCTTTGCAATTGTTTCTTCCAAAATTAAAAGTTTCTGTAGGTTGTCGATATTTATAATATACTTTTACGAGTGATATAATTTTGAAAATATATTTTTACGAGTACATACTTCTTAAAATATACTTTTATGGTATTATAAAAGACGACAAACGAGGATTTTTTTTAAATGTTTTCTGTTCTTGTAAAAAAGAACTTTTTGTTATATGTAAATATACACTGGTGTGCAAAAATTAAGAACGAGATGGTTTTTTAAATATAACGCGCAAAAGCTTTTCAAATCAAAACAAATAACATCATAAGACCCCAAAACAAAAGAACATGAGCAATGGAAGCAAGACTTACCAAAAAAGAAATCAAAGGGATAAAAAGGAACTTTATTGAGAAAGTAACATGGAACATAATGCGATTGAAAGCTGAAACATCCGTGTGATAGGTGTCCTGTTAGAAACATCCAACTTTTGGCAAGGGATATGAACTTCCCTGACTGCAATGCAGGTTTCACATCTTCGGGTCAAGCTGAGTATGATGTTGTCATTGAGTTGTGTATTGTAGCCCATTTGTCTGTACTGACAATCGGAGAGCCAAAATCGTTACTGGCAATAAGTTACGTGCTGCCAAGGGTCTCCCTAGAATGTCCAGTACATACTCGATTGAATTTATATCCGAAAACCTTTCCGACCTATCTACGCGTTCAATATCTGTACTATCCAACAGTTCTTCGACACCACTGTGCAATAAGCTGGTGTATTGTCGTCCGTGACAATGAACTGCGAACTCATAACGCCTCTAAAAAAACGCACATAGAAAAGTCTTTTTACAATAGTGGGTGACTGAACGTCCTTCGTTGATGTGAAGGTCGGTAAGGCAACCAAGCATAATCCCTCCCCAAACGAGAACACCGAGACCCCGAACCAGTCTCTTTTGATGATGTTTATCACAGGTTCGAAGCTTGGTGCGTACACTCCTGGAAGGAAATTGATATTTTAAGGAATAGTAAAATGTTTTTGCGATGCATCTCAGATATTCTAATCTATCTCTATTTGCAGTGCTGTCGAATTTTTAAAAAACATTTTGGGAAAGTTCCAATTAAAAATATGGTTTTTGTATCGATTTGACTTCGATAATGAGTCCATCATGTAATTACAGTCAATTAGAGTGTACCCATGGTGTAATGGTTACCACAACTGCTTTTCAAGCTGAAGGTCCCAGATTTGAAACAGGGTGGGTATATACCAAAGTATTGTATTTAAACATTTTGAATTAAATGGTTAACAAAAATCTTTCAAGAATGTTGTAGGAACAAATATTTACATTTGGTTTCGAAAGCGTTGTATTTTTTGTTGTTATTTTTTTTCGTTGAATTTTTTTTCTTTTGTGTTATCATTCATTCTGTGTATTAGATGTTAGGAAACGGCTTTCTGTGCTGTTTCGTTGGGACATAGATAAGACTGGAGAATTATAGGACAGAATCGTTTGCCATAGCAGTAGTTGTATTGGTTTTCATACTACTTTTCTAATATTTAAATTCTGGATTCAAAAAGTGGTGTTTTCAAACCCATCTTTGGTTGAATATCATGTTCAAATCCCTTCGGTAAATTTTTGAATCACTGTACTTAATTATTCGGCAAGAGGAATTGGGATTTACTGATTTAAGATAATAGTTTTAATCCTTGCTATGTTTGATGATAACTTTCTATCGTTATTACTCTTTATTGACTCGGTAATAAAAGCGTATGCTCAGCCATATGTACCCATGGTGAAGTGGTTATCACATCCGCTTTATGAGCGGGAGGTCCCAGGTTTGAAACCTTGTATATTCTACGTGTTTGTTTCTTCTACGGGAGAAATGTTTTTCTTTAATCCGTTAAAAGCTTTTTAAATGAACGCATATATTTCGGTGAAACATAATTTTCCGTTTAATCTCAGACACTCGAAATAAATTTTTATTTTTACATTTAGCTTTTTACTTTTTTATGTACTATGGGTAGGGAAGGAATTTAAATATTGAAATGAATTTATCAGCAATCTGTAAATGCAAATGCGTCCACATAGTGTAGTGATTATCTCGTGCAAATTACACTCGAAAAATCTCGATTTCAGAACGAGTTTGGTTAAATACGAAATGCTTGTATGCTGTGCACTAAATAGTTACAATTCATATTTTAAGAAAGTACTCTTTTTCACGAATAAAAACTTTCCTGTCGATTCCGGACGCGATGAGTCCTATCTTTCTTTTCATTTATTTTGATTTAATTTTGATTTCTTAAGGATTAGGAATAGTGCTTTGTGCGGTATTTTAATGCAAGTTTGATAAGGCTAGAATTATTACAGAGCAGAATCGTGTACCTTTTGCGTTATTGTTGGAATTTGCATATGAGTTTTTCTTAAATTTAAAACCACAGTAGCAAAGAAAGGTATCTGTGTTTCATCTTGGGTTAGGTATCATGCCCAAAAACTTTCAGGAAATTTTTTCGTCTATATACTCAATGTTACTTAAAAGAATTTAGATTTCTCTTCAGAGCATGGTTTAGTATTCAACTGTGTATCCCGGTTACTTTTGATTATACCTTTCCGTTGTAAGAGAATAATTGAATGTAATAAATAAACTCACTTTTAATTACGTGATTCCTTAATTTTTACCTAGCAGTGTATCTAGAAGCATTTCGGTTTATTGAGGAATGTGTTTTACTTATCTATTCACCATTTTGAATCTTTATTTTTTTTTTGCAATTTTGAAACTAATTTTTATATTATTGATTGATTGTTGTTGTTCAATTTTTAGATTAATGAATTTTATTCTTGTATCATTGTGCTCTTTTGCGTTTTGGATTGTTCAAGTTCAGCTTACCAAGTCGCAAAGGGAAAAAAAAAAAAGGTTGGTTCCATCAGACTAGTTTAATCCCACTTATTAGGTCTGCAGCCCGAAATTGCTTTATGATTGATCGGGCTCCATTTTTTCAGCTTGCTTAAACATTGCTTTTCGTCCTTTTAAATATCTTATTAATTATTTTTTCATAATTTTTCAGCATATATATATATATATATATAATAATAATAATAATAATTATTATTATTACTATTATTATTAGAATAGATGGGAAACGTTTTAAAACGTTTCCCATCTATTCCAGGTATTATAAGTTTTATATAAGACGGTTTTTCTTAAAATGAGTTTTATGAAAAAGTAAGTCATATGTTATTCCAATTTTATGTTATGTTTCTTGACTCTAATGTCCATATATGAAGCAAATATTTAAATTTTAACTTCAAAAAGTGCATTGGAAGATAAATACCCAAGCTATAAAAGTTGTTGGATTTAAAAAAAAAAAAAAGGCTCATTAATAATTTATCTCGCTACACTCTGTTTATTTTCACCATTATTTTCATTTTTTAAAAAAATTATTTTATCTGAACATGTCCTTACCTCCATTTTGAAAATATTTTATTTGTTCATCACTTTCACAAATAGAATGATTGTAAAGCTCAATTGAAGTGGATTTTTTTTTCTTGTCGATGGTTCATCTTCTTATTCACTTTTTTTTTTTTTTTATCATTTCTTATTTATTTTCTTCCTGACATCTTTTGTGTTTTCTGTAAGAGAGGATTAAAATTTCATTCAAACAACGGTTGATTCTGTTTCTTTTGTAACATTTTTAAAAATAACTAATGATATCTCCAATGAAAATGTACACTAACACAAATTATATTCTTCACAAGAATCATTTTTCCTAGTTTTTTTCCTCGTTTTTATATAGTCTTTCTTTAATTTCTCCTGAGAACATTTTTTATCTTTCCCAGTTTTATTGAAGCAATATTAATATTCGACTGTATATTCGTCAATAAACAAAAGTAAATATAAACCTTTAAACAAAGTGCTTTTTCACAAATTTCCCTTTATTGTTCACCTTAATTTTTCAGGTGCAATGGGCTTCATTTAAAAGTTATTCCGATGTGTATATCAGAAATAATTTTACATTTTAATGATCAAAATGGAAAGCTATAAAAATACTTGCATGCATATAGGGCGAAAGTTGATATAACTCTATACTCATTTCTAGAAATGTTACTTATTTGTAGGTGTGTGCTCTTAACATTTCACATCTATCAAGAAGCTCTTGATTGTTGGGTTTCACGCAGCATAGAAAAACAAAAACTATTATTACTCTTGTTTAGTATAAAACGTATTTATTATTTCATACCTCAAAATATATTCCTTCAATTTTGATGTTATATATCCCATTCAACTGCAACTGTGTTAGCCGAGTGGTCATGGTCGCGAACGCATGGCTGGGGTTATTTCCGTCTACTGAGGGTTTAATTCCACTAAAACCTTACGTGTAGTGGGACTGGTGTACGTTGAATTTGGCGAGTCTCCAAGTCCTCCCTTTGTCGTGGTATGGAAATTTGGAGAAGAGATGCCAACTCAGGTGTTGTTCTCGTCACTTGATTGATTCAAAATTATGAGGCATGTCGTGTACAGCTCTGTTGTTGGTTCTAAGTGTGGTGTTAAAAATAATCGCAAAACAAATCCTATTTAATATTATTATTTCAACTTCCTAGGAATAGCCTTTTTTGCGCTATATCCGTCATGCGTCAACTAATTGAATTACCAAAGAACACATCTAAGTCTATTTAAAACTACGCGAATGTGGCTGGTGAATTATTTTTTTTTCTCAAAAAATAAATATATATAAGGGAAGAAAATTGCATACCAGAATTGTTAGTTTATTCAGAAATTATTCCATGTAAGTTTTTCGTCAAGTCAAAATAATCCCTTTTCAGTAGTTAAGTAGCCAAAATAATAATTCATTCTTAGTAGATGCTGAATATTTTCAGAGCATATATATACACATTGTGAAAAGATAAAATTCCATGCTTTATTTCGAAAAGAATTTAACATGTTTAATTAAAATACAATATTTAACTAAATAATCAATATTAACATTAATTAAATCCTTCATTTGCATTAAGGTTAAATGATAGTTCAGATTTTATATATGTAAAGACAATTTCCTCTTCTTCAAGAATTATTCTGTTATACTGTATCCTGGATATAATTTAATCTTCGATTATATAAATATATAATAATTAAATCTTTTCCTTTTCTAAGTTTGCTTTTCAAATAAGTTATTACTGTTAAAATTCCTTACAATTTCAAATTTTGTATCGCATAAGCTTGCGTTGTTTTATAAACTTATATCTATGAGTCTTTTTTCTTTCAAACTAACTTATGTAATCTTGTCTAAATACCAGCATTTTTTTAGAATTGCTTTATTTCTAACGTATGGATACAATGATCCTCAAGGACATTTAAAAGTTTAAAGTTATTAATGAACACACAAAAGCAATGCAACTTAAATATATTAAAAAAATATCTTACATTTTAAACATTTAATCATTACAAAAGTACAACTTTTGTTTCCATGCCCAGAAAAAAGTAATTTTACTATACATTTGTTTATTATTTCCATTCTAGGTCTTTTAGGTTTTTACACAGTACAAACATTTAATTTAGAATTACATCAATGAAATGAAAGAGTTTGGAATTTAAATAAATTGCTAAAGAACAATTCCGTTTTCTGGCGGTATCCTAATTAGATAATAGAATTTCAGATAGAGAATAACCAAAACGAGAAATTTTTTGCGCAACTATAACTCTCATAAATGTTTTGATTCACATTTGATACATCAGTTTTTTAAATTTGATTTGAGCACTGATGCTTCCAAAAACCCACCATGCCATGGAGCTGATACACGTTAAATCTAGTAACAATCCCAAGTTCTCCCGATGGCGTGATATGGAAGTTTGGAGAGGGTTCAACATAACTCAGTCTGTCAATAATATCCCCCGTGTTGCTTCTTATTGCAACGTAAAAAAACATATAATTTTTTAAAATTAATTCTGAATATTTATAATCTCAACGATCAGATTTTATATATGTAACGACAAATTCGTATTCTTCAAGAACTATTCTCTTATAGTGTACCTTTAATATAATTTAATCTTCGAATACATAAATACATTCTACATAAATACGGATTGTCATGAAATTTCGAGTGCAAAGACATTTAGACCGAACATGCAAATGATTAAAATTTGGAGTTCATTGACTGAATAGCTACTGCGCATCGGAACTGCACACTCGGCAAGTGTATATAAGAAGCGATTCTCAATCTGATGGTCAAATTTTTTGCTGGATTGCGTTTTTCTGCACATGTTGCTAAGAATTGTCTAACAGCCAGATCTTTCTCCAATCGAGCCTGTCTGGGAAGTCGACTGCATCTACCAGGGAATGTTGATGACCTAGTCCGACAATTGGAGCAAATTTGGCAAGAAATACCGCAGGAGACCATAAGGGAGCTTTTTCACTCTATGTGATTTCGTGTGGCAGCTTGCATCCAGGCTAGAGGTGGGTCAACACCTTATTAAGCTCGTTACTTTGTAACTATGTAACTCTGAAATAAATCATTGAATTTTCTGAAAATTTAATCATTTTTTTTTATCTGTACATAATTTCTCTATCCGCCAATTTTTGTCTCTATCAGACAAATCCTTCTTGGTATGTCGTTTTTTTTGTTATAGAGTGTATATGTACATCTCTGGCCATTAAAATAGCAACATCAGGAAGAAATAATCTGACGAGTGTCAAAACCACATGAAAGGAAAAAGAGGTTGCTATATGCAAATGATTAGTATTTCAGCGCATCTAAACGACGCATCAGGAAGGATCAACGATATCTGAAGCTCGGCATAAAATAAAAGTTTTATATTGGGTTTCTGATTCGAAAAGCACTTTCTAAAGTCGGATTTCATTTAAAAT